GTGAAGAACCCACACAGTAACTGGTGAAGTATTTGCGCAGAGGGCGGCCAGTTTAGTGTCCCTGCCGCCCAGTGTCAAGGGCAGCAGTGGACGGGGCCAGGCGAGGTCAGCTGCGCCATGCGGGTCTCCGCCCTGGGGGGGATCTCACTCAGGCCATCACGGTGAGAGTGCGGAGATGTAGCCTCTCACACCAGGGAGGCCCGTGTGTATTTTAAATTAAGCTTGATTAAATGTGGTTGATAATGACGACCCTGCTCTCATGCAGTATCACAAGGCTCGTTCTGGCCGCCCCCTTTCTTATCTGCAGCTTCTCTGACAACAGAATTCGGGCTCCCAGCATCCATTACTTCCAAATGCAACTCCAGGATATTCACTAAAGCAGTTTCAGAATTCCAGCCCATGAGCCATGAGAAACACTATCACCTAGAGTATGTTTGTGCAGTGTGTGGTTCCTTTTACTTTTAACCTGATGGTTTCCAGCCAAAACAGTTTTCCAAAATTTCTCAGGTCAGCACCATTTCTTTTTCATCCCCTTCAGCTGTTGACTTCACAGATGTATAATAAAATTAGTCGTTTCAGGTCTGTCATGCTGGATTTAGTAAATGTGTAGTGGATGGACAGACATTAACTCTGGGAACATAATTGTTCCCTATTTATGTCTATAACTCCCAGTTACAACCATATAAATACTCTGAATCTACAAAATATACATTCATTTATTTCATTGCATAAAAGCAACTCTCCAGTTGCTTATTCTAGACACTTCTTTCTTTTTCTAAAGATTTATTTACGTATAGAAGAACTGGGGTGTAGGCCAGAGGTGCTGGGCGCGGGAATGAGAGGACAGCGTAGGGAGCAGAACCGGCAGATTGACTGAAATATACTGCTGAGGGGAGCAGCAGGTGAGGCAGGAGAGGTCTGTTGTGCCCTGTGGGTCACCTCCCTGGCTGGGGATTGAACTGGTGCTGCAGTGGACAGCTTCGTAGTGCCAAGACTTAACCCCCTTCCGCCACCAGGGAGGGCCCCCAGACACTTCTTGTCCACTAATGATTCCCAACTCTCAACCATCTGGCTGGCTCCAGCTCAGTCTAGGAAACTACTCCTCTTCCCAGCCGTCCTTTATGTGGTATCCTTGGGACATAGGGGTCCGGGTAAAACACACTTCATGCCCACACACTCCACCTGGCTTCCCCTGCCCCTTTAGCTTTGGATTTTTTAGACAAATCTGAGCCCTGAGGTGCCCACCAGGCCTTCCTTCTCTTTAGTCATCCTCCATCTCATCTCCCAAACTCTGTGACAAAGCCCAGCCCTACCGCCCAGGAAGGCCTTTCTGATGTATCTGATTTATTCCAGACTAAGTCTCTCTGCCTATTGGACCCTAACACACTCTGAACCTCAGACACTTTAGTTTTTTATCCTGACAGCAAGGGAAGGAGAAGAAATGGAGACCAGGGGCTGTGGGGGTATGGGAGACCCCTGGGTGAGGCCCCCAGAGGAGTTGTGATGCGCCCCTTCCCCTCCCATGCCCTCACCCAGGACTGCCTTTGCTCCCTCCCCAAACAGCAACCTTCACTTGTGTCAATTCCAACTCCTATTATGGCCTCCATGAAAAAGGTGCTGGGGGGTCGGGGGGGGGGGGTTGTGCTAGTCTCGAAACACAATCTAACTAGGAAAATAAGACACAAAAAGATAAAAATATAAGGTAGCAGGGTGAATGGGTTCAGGGGAAGGCAGACAACTGGCCAAGGCGGGGAGAAGCAGCAGAGTGCGTTTGTAGGGAAGGAGGGGTAAGGAGGGTTAGTCCCGTGACCTGGAAGCTTGGAGGCCGGACAGCACAGATGACCTCTGAGCATTGTTTCTGCCTCACCTTCATGTCCCTCGTTTCAGGGGGAGATGCAAAGCGCCAGGTGGCTCTGGGGGAGAGAAGTGATGCAACGAGCAGGCTGAACCGGTGCCCTCTAAGGCCATGTCCATAGGGCCATGGGTGCCATTGGGCACGGGCTCCACAGGCTGGGCCTTTCTGGAGGAGGGAGTCCCACAGCAGGAGCAGCTGGAAGGCCGTGTGTGGACAGATGGCAGAGACCAGAGGTCCCAAGCAGGGCGAGCTTTCCTAGCAGTGCTGTCAGGCCCACCCCAGAGTCAAGGGAGTCATGAATCATTGTGGACCCCCTTTCGACGCCTTGCTGCCTGGTGGGATCAAAGCTCAAAAGAGTCTGGACACCTCCTCATTGACCCTGTGTTCTCCAGAGAAAGTATCCGGGGATGCTGTGGAGCTGGAGGCAAGGCAGGCGCGAGGATCAGAACAGTGTGGGATACTTAGAGGAGGACGTGCCAGTAGAGTTTATTTATGGGAGAGTCCAAGTAATGGCCCAAGCAGTTTTGTCTTCACAGTCCTGGCAGAAGCCGTCAGCAACTCTTCTCTCATGAAGAGGCCCGAGTTCCAGGGGTTTTTGCACCTTGGCCCACACTGCACCCCAGTGTCCCCCATTCCTGCTGCGGGTGCTGAGGTGGAGGTCAAGGTCTCAGGCTGCAGGGAGGCACTGTTAGACTCCCTGGCATTGATCCCAGGAGTCTCTGGCCACCCGTGCTGGAGGGCTGGGGGCAGGGAAGACATTGCCCAGAGGTGGGCACTATGATATACAACCTGGTTTAGAAGGCAAAAGGAGATCAGGCCAGATGGAAGGAATCTGTAGGGATGCCAACAGTGGTGTGGGAGGGGCAAAGGAGGCAGGAGAGAAGGGCATGGTGGATGCAACAGGCCGGCACAGAGGACGGGCTGTTCTGCAATCTAGCCTACAAAGCAGGAGCACAAGTAATTAAAAAGTCACACTGGGGCCCTCCCTGGTGGTGCAGCAGGTTAAAGCACAGCACTAAGAAGTTAAAGCCACTTAGGCATGAGCTTGGTCCCCACCCCGGAGATGACCCACATGGTGCAGCAGACCTCTCCTGACCTGCCCGCTGCTCCCCTCAGCAGTGTGCTTCCTTAGTCAGCCTGTTCTGTTCCCCACTCTGTCTCTGGTGAAGCCTCTCATCACCTGGCACCTCTGGCCTGTACTCTAGTTCTGTATGCATAAATAAATAAATCTTTAGAAAAAAACAAAACCACACTGGGATCCTGGGAGTGAGGCCCCCTCTTCCGCATCCCAACTTCGAGTAGGCCTGTCCTCTTCCTCAGGAGTAAGAAGCTGGAGCCCAGGAGAAAAGCCCCAGCAGAACCCTGAGGACCAAGCAAACAGAGATAAGGGTTTGGGGACAGAGACACCTCCTTGCCCTGGGGTCAGCAGGCCATTCCACAGAGTGGAAGAGGGGCCCTCTCACTCTTCTACCCCCCCCCAGCCCATCAGTCTGCACCAGTGTCTGAGGGTTATTGAAAGACACAGCTCCCCAAATTAGAGTCCTAGGATTGCTCTGTAAGGGGGGTGAGAGGTAGCGCCTGGGGAGTGAGGTTCTTTCTATTTGCCTAAATCTTCAGGAAGCCCTTGCTGACATTCTTGCTCAGGGGCCCAGAATTAAATTTAGTCCCTACCCAAAGCCCTTGTTTTAGGAAAGAATGAGATGGCCTTTGTTGCATAACCCAGAGCTGGGCGGGTGTGGACTGCTGGTCCTTCTTCCTCCCTCTAGGAAGGAAGGCCAGGCTGGGAGTGCTGGGATGGGTGGGGCACTGCCTGGGGAGGACGGCCAGGAAGTGGGGGGGTAGGGGGTGGGTTCACAGGCCAGAGCATTGAAGGCCCTGCAAACAGCAGCCTGAAGCCCCAAACCACTCCCCCTCCCCCTGGGTGGGTTCCTGGGCACCACACAGCCTGAGGAGCCTAGAACCCTCCCCCAGGGTAGGGGGTACTTGTTGGGGATGGGGTGGGGGTGGTTTATGGAAAAGGAGTGGACTAGAGAGGTGATCTGGCTCAGATGGCCAGGAACGGGGCAGGGTCTGCTAGGGTCTGTTCTTCAGTCACTGACCGCAGAGCGCAGAGTATGGGTTCCTTTAACTTTCACCACTCTCCTGTCATTTCACCTTGCTGAGTCTGCCTTGTCACTCCCTCCCAGGTGTGCAGCCAGCCCTCACTCTTGTGCATTCCCCTCTGCCATGCTGCCTGACACCCCATGGTTTTGGAGAGCCTCTCTCCTTGCTCCATCTTACCCCTTGCTCCCCACAACCCCCTCACCATCGGAGCCCAAACTGGCTCTCCCAGCAGTAATGGCTCCAGATGTTTTTTCTCCTCGGGTCTTGTTTTCCTTTGGTCTGCTTTCTCCCATCTGTAGTAGGTTCTTCCAAGACCATCACCTGGGCCTTTTCCTCTCTCCATTCCCCCACCTGCCTCAAGACCTCCCCACACACTCCACTCACCATCCCTTCTGTATCCACTTTTTTTTGAAGATGTAGTTATGCATATAGAGCTGGGGTACAGGCCAGAGGTGTGGAGGGGGTGAGAGGATTCACCAGAGACAAAGTGGGGACAGAACAGGCAGATGGACTGAAATACACTGCTGAGGGGAGCAGCGGGAGAAACAGGAGCAGTCTGCCATGCCCTATGGGTCAGCTCCCTGGCTGGGGATAGAACTTGTGCTGCAGTGGCTGTGGATAGTTTCTTAGTGCTGAGACTTAACTCATGCCACCAGGGAGGGCCGTGCATCCACCTTTAGATCCCCAACTTTTCCCTTCCTGCCCTTCCCTGTGACCCCTTCCTCCTCCTGCAAGAGCTGGATTGCAGGTTTTCCTTTTCCTCTCAACTCCTGACCTCTGCTGCTTCCACCCCTCCCACCCTCCAGTCCCTCCGCCCAGTTGTCCAGCTCCCAAATTCCGGAGGAGATTCCCAGGCACAAAGCAAGAAAAATCAGAATAATTTGGGACTCAAACAGAAATTGGGAAGGGAGTGGGGAGAGAGGCGAGGGGAGGACCCAGGTGTGAGGGGCCTGCAGTCCCACCCAGTTTAGGGAAAGCCCAAGCGTTTCCCCCACCCCCCTTCACCTGGCTCTTAAAAGGCCCAGCCCCTAACAGGCAGCTACTTAAGGCAGAGGGGTGGTGGCGGGCAGCAGCTGTGCTGGGATTGCGCTGAGAGCTGAGAGGAGTGGACGGGCACAAGTCCTGACCATGACGGCCCACAGGCTGCTGCCGCCACTGCTGCTGCTAACTCTGCTGCTTGCAGCCTGCTGCAGAGATGCCTTGGCAGAGTGCCCAGGCTGTGGGCAAGGAGCACACGCTGGCTGTCCTGGGGGCTGCATGGAGGAGGAGAATGGGGGGCTGCCAGAGGGCTGTACGGAAGCTGGGGGCTGTCTCAGGCGGGAGGGGCAGCAGTGCGGGGTCTACACCCCTACTTGCACCCCAGGACTACGGTGTCTGCCGCCCAAGGAAGAGGAGGCACCTTTGCGGGCGCTACTGCTGGGCCAGGGTCGCTGCAGCCCAGTGCGTGTGCCCTCTGGTGAGTCCTCCCGCCTGTCCGCCTGCCTCCTTGCCCTGCCTGGCTGCTTGCCCCGCACACATGAGCTCCACTCCTTTGCCTGCAGGGCCCTGGAGAGCACGGCCAGCAGACCTCTGGGTTCTGCTACGGATTCTTCTTCTTTCCCACTTCTGGGGGCTACATTGAGGGGTGAAGAGGCCGGTGGGAAGAGCAGGTGAAAGTCTGGAATGAGGCTAGAGGTCCTAGGGCAAGGTGGGCAGGGGTAGTCTGAGTCCTCAGGGTTATTTCCTCCCACCCCCCTTCTATTTATTTTCTCTTGAGGGGAAAGTAGGAGGTAATGAAGGGGTTTTGAGGCCATGCCATATGCCCCAGGGGCACAGCTCCTTCAGCCCCCATCCCCAAGATGGACAGAAGACCCACATGCTGTTCCCAGCTTCTACTTGGAGAAAGAGTGGAGGGAACCCCAGCCTCCCAAGCCCTGCACACACTATCCCTCCCCCCTCTTAATATCACCATATTAAGAAAATACTTGAATTTTAAAAAATTCTATTATATAAATGATTCTATTGATTTCTTAATACCAAGGTATTAAGACAAGCATCCGAACATAAGGTTTAGAACAGAAGATGTCCCAGATTTAGACAGGGTGAGAGGGCAGACCCAGGGCCCCCCAGGAGAGCAAGAGGTAGGAAAAGGAGAAATCTGTCAAATCAGGGTTATGATTTAAAGCTGCTCAGAATCCTCCATCCACTCCACCCTACCGCAGGGAGGAGGACAGAGGCTGAGTCACCGGGTGGGACAGAAGTGAGTCAGAATCCAAAAGACGGGGGGCAGCAGGTTGCTGGGAAGATGGGAAATGCAAACAGCCCTCCCATGAACCTCCTGGTCCCTTCCATGGGAAGGGGTGGGAAATTGGAGCTTCTTTCAGTCCCACAGCCTGGACATGCAGGTCCAGCTAGGGGCCTCCTAGAAGGTGTATGTGGGGGTGGGGGTGAGGAGGCAATGGTGGCAGCAGGGTGCAAAGTGAAGAGAATGAGGGGCAAGGCCAAAGAGGGTGGTGGAAAAGGATGGGGCTCAAGCTTGCAAGGAAATGGCTTTGGGTTTGGAGTAGTAGACAGAAGCAGCAGCTGAGGACCTAAAGAGAGCTTGTCTTTGGACATGGGGGGGCGACCTTCCCTTCAGGGCCCAATGACCTAATTTTACAGCGAAGCAAACTCTGCGCAGGCATGCTTGCCTTTCCCTCATCCAGACTTATTTCCTCACCCAGCTCAGTCCTGAGTTCTCAACCCCTCCCAGTCCCAGCACCCCCAGCCCCCACAGCCCCCAGACACCATGTGTTAGAAATGCTTTCTGGAGCCAGGAGCAGTCTGCAGGTTAGAAGCCCTGGCCCAGACACCTTTGCAGCCTGTACTCACACTGGCCGGGTTAGGGCTGAATCCCACATGTGCCTGGAACCACTGGGTTGAGCAGAGCTGAACCACAGGGGGCCAGAAGGCAGAGGGCTCAGGCCTGCCTACAAGGGGCCAGCTGAGTCACAGTAGGGTCACAGCGGGGACAGCATTCCTCTTGGGTCCCTGCTGAGCACTGTCCACATCTGGTTCTCTTCTGCTTCATCGCCCTGAGTCGGTGCGCCCCCTGCTGGCCACTGGTGGAGAGGCCAGGTGTTTTCCCCCCCAGCCCGCGATCTCCTCATGCATTTGTATTTGTTCTCAATTTTTGCTTTCCAAAATGCTTCTCTGTAAGCCTTAAAATTAGTCTGAAGGTATTTCCAGGAGAGGTGAAGGAAACAGAGACCGGGAGAAGGGGGAGAAGGTTCTAACACCCCTCACTTCCCCACTTCAGTGGTAAAAGCTCTTGCCCACTAGCTCTGGTCTTTGACATGTGGCTGATTTCCAGCTTGTTCTCCCATCTCTCTTGTGGCTGTAGGGGAGCAGCCTAAGGAGAGTAGACTGCAAGCAAGGAACAATCGCCCACAGGACGGGAACCACAGAGACCAACAGAGGCATCCTGGGACCTCCACCACTTCCACCCGGCCCAATTCTGGGGGTGTCCGAGATACGGAGACGGTGTGTTTGCGGGGTGGGGAGCCTTGGAGACGCCCATCTGAGACTCTTCCCTTGGGCTAGAAGTCTCCAGTGTCAGTCCTGGGTCTGGCTGGTGGGACCTGGGGGCTGCGCTGTGGGGTTTGACTGGTGGGTACTGAGCTGCCTGCCTGCCCTACACCCCAGGGCCCGTGCCGCAGACACCTGGATTCAGTGCTGCAGCAACTCCAGACCGCCGTCTACCGGGGGTCTCACACGCTCTATGTGCCTAACTGTGACCATCGTGGCTTCTATCGAAAGCGGCAGGTAGGGCCAGGCTTCTCCACTTGCAGATCTGTCTGTGCCAGGTGCCCATCGTGGGTGGAGGAGGGGCTTACAAGGTTAAGACACCTGGAGGGCTTGGCTGAGCAGTCTGCAGAGCTTCGGATCCTGAAGGTGTGGGTGGGGGCCTGAGAATGTGCAAGTCTGACTCAGCCCCGAGTGATGCTTGAGGCTGTGTTTTTGGACTCGTGCTTTGAAAACTGCTATTCTGGCCTCAAACAGGCACAAATTAGGGCCTCCCCGGTGGCCTAGGGGTTAAGTCTCAGTGCCGTCACCATCACTGAGTCCGATCCAGCTAGGGAGCTGACCTCTCTCATCTCAACTGCTGCTGCCCTCAGCAGTGTCTTTCAATCTGCATGTTCTGCTCCCCACTGTCTCTCACACCCCCACACTTGTGGCCTGTACCCCAGTTCTAATTAAAACAACAACAACAACAAAAAAAAAACAGGCGCACTTGGTGGAGGAGCAGCAAGGGAAGGGAGTGCTCGGAGCTCAGACCCGTGCTCAGACTCAGGAGCCCAAGCCAGTGGCCGCTGACCCAGAAGTGCCGTCCCTTCTCTCCTCCGGGAAGCCTCAGGCTCCATCTCTGATCCCTGTACCTCTCTCCTCAGTGCCGCTCCTCCCAGGGGCAACGCCGGGGTCCCTGCTGGTGTGTGGATCGGATGGGCCAGCCCTTGCCCCCGGACAGCGACGGCCGCGCCCCCTGTGCCACCGACAGCAGTGGCTAAGGCTGCGGGGTTTCGGGGCCACTGGCAGGAGCATGGGGCTGTCATCTTGGGTCATTTGCTGAGTGATGAGTAACTCAGGGGCTCTGAGCACCACACTTGACCTTCAGGCCCCGCCCTGTTGTTCCCCTTTCCTGGGGCCTCACACCTGGCAAGTTGTTGGCTTGGGTGGTAATAAAGCTGTGCTGGGGTAACTGCCCTACAACCCTGCTTCCGCCTCTCACACTTCTGGAGCCTGTGGCCCTTGTGTCTACCACTACCCCAGTCCCCTGGAGGGCACCCCACTGCAGCCTGCCCACCAGCTTCTGTCCTTCCCACTGCACTTGGAAGGAAGGAGGCAGCGCTGGCAGAGGTTTCAAACCCTCAGCCTCACCAGACTACAGGGGTGGGGGTTGGGGAGCAGGATGTGTGGGAGGACGCACCTGGCCAAAAGGTTTTGGCTACAATTGTGACCTCCTTTCTAATATTGATCTTTGCACTCAAAGCGGAGAGGAAGGTTTAGTAGTAGTCCCCAGCAGAAACCCAACAGAGCGCTTTCTGGTACTTCCTATTAAGAAGGGAAGGAAATGAATATTTATTGAGCACTTCCGCACAGACCAGGTGCTTTTACGTAGCACCGCCTCGGTTTGTGAGGTAGGAATTCCGGCCCCCACCTTGCAGAGGAGGAAACTGGCTTAAAAGCTCTGGGTCACTTGCCTGATATTGCACAGGCAGTAAATGGAGGAGAGTTTCCATCTTGTTCTTTCAGACATGACGATACCTGGCATTCTTTCGAGGCAGAGTAAGTGTTTTGCTTCCTCTGCCTACGTGCTCACCCATGCAGGTGGGACAAGCTGGCTTCGGGGTCCTGGCACCAGCACTTCCTGAAGGGGCCACAGCAGGAGTGTCACAGGTGCCACCACTATCAGAGTATCAATCAGGCACAAATATGCTTCTGAATTGACACAATTCAGGCACACACTATCACACCATCTAAGATAGCCAATGTTCCCTGCAGGACCTCCTGACTCCTCCCTGTCTCAGCCTGCAGGGAGATTGGAGGGTGAGCCAAGGAAGCTGATAAGGCTCCAGAGGCAAAGTCTCCTCCCCATGATGGTCTGCCACCACCCCTGAGGGAGGGAGAGCATGCTACGGACTGGGCACCTGGCTGGCGGCTGGGGCTGCCGCTGCCGTGGACTGCCAGGCCGGCCAGCAGAGCAGCGCCTGTAGCTGGGAGCGCTGCTCTCGGGGTCAGACAGCCTCGCATCCCAAGGCCCCCTCCTCCAGAGAGGACTTTAGTCTTTGGAGCTATTTGCTAAGCCGAGTGAGATAGGAGCTTGGCAGCCCTTGGAGGAAAGAGGGAACGCAGCTGCCCTCTACCCAGTAAAGGTCCGTCATGGAATCAAAGGCGGCCCACTTGCGGAAGAGAGAGGGGCCCAGCGCACAGCAGGACCGCCCCCGCACAGAAGGTGAGCCACCTCCAGGTGTGCAAGGAGCTCAGCGGGCCACAAGGGGGTGGTGGCAGGACGCATGTCCACAGTCTGTCTGCCTGCTGTCCTGCCAAACCAGGGGAGACCCCAACTCTGTCCCCAACTGCCTGGTGGGGGGAGGGAGCGAAAGCCATTCAGAGCACTGGTGCTGTACTCTAACCTCAGCAACCTCAGCGGTGGAGTGGAGTCGCTTCCTGTCTCTGGGATCCTACTTCCAGTAATGTCATCAAGCTCTTGCTGGTCAAAGGCTTCCCCACTCCCTGCAAAAAATAACTTCCCCTTCTGATTGCCCCACCTAAGACAAATTCACTGGGTGGGGGCAGGGAGGCTGCTGAGCAGGTAGGAAGCATTTTATGGACAGAGGAAGCCTTTGGGTCTGCTGAGTCCACCAAGCCCTAGCTCCTCAACCTCAGGTGTGACCTTTGACCTCTCCTAGGAAGCCCTGATAAAAACAGAGGCCTGGACTTGGTGCAATGGACCCAACAAATGGAGGTGAGGGGTGCCAGAGGTCAAGACAGATGAGTCCAGTTGGGAGTGAAGGGAGAGAAGGGTGAGCACTGGGTTGGGGACAGAGCATCTTGTTCTTGGGTTCAAACCCTTCTGATAAGGTTAGAGCCCGGGATTAAGATAGAAGGGTTAGGGCAGGGGCCAAAAGTCAGTGGGTGAGCAGTTTTCCAGTTAGTGGGGTGAAAGGGCAGGAGAGCAGGGTCAGCTGGCAAGGTGGCTTGGATTCAGAACCCCCCAGCTGCCCCGGAGCTCTAGGGAGACCCCTGGAATCTCTAGGCAGGCCTGCTCGTCTGTCATTAGTACTTAGCGGTGGAGCTGATGAGAGGATGGTCCAGCAGGTGGCACGGTAGGATGGCCGACTGCATGTGGGCCCTGTTCTGTCCTCAGGCTGTGAAGACACAGCTGCTGGAGCAAGCGCAGGGACAGATGATGGCACTGCTGGACCGGGCCATGTGGGAGGCTGTACAGTCTTACCCACCGCAAGGCGGACCCCCGCCCTCCAAGGCTCCAGATCCCTTGAGCAAGTATGAGTCTGAGGAGCTGCGGGGCAGGGGGTGGCTGGATTCCCCATGAGGCATAAATGTCATCGTGCCTTCTGCCTGACTTAACTCCCCCGTCTCCCCTTCCTGCTTCCGTCTTCTTGACACTGACCTCCACTCTGGGCCTTGCTGTACCCTGGCCCTGACCCTTCACTGAATCTTGCCCTGCAGCCCTCCTCCTGACTGTCCCCTACTTCTGCCCCTGGTCCCCAAGGCTTCTGCATGGCCCTGCCCTTCTCCCACCACTTTCTTCTTTCGGGTCCTGACCCAGAACAACCGTCTCAATTCAGGACCAGGGAGCCATCCTTGGGGAAACGGAAAGTTTTCATCATCCGCAAGTCCCTCCTTGAGTAAGTGAGGGGTAAGGACAGAGGATGGGAGGTTGGGGGTCCAGGATGATAACTCCTTGGTCATCCCCAGACTTGAGGTGATGTGTGGGGAGGACTCAAAAGAGAGTATTAAGATATTTGCCCTGGATGTGACTGCAGAAAAAAGGCCACCAAAATAAGGAGTGTCAGGGTGGGAAAGGGCTTTTTTGGACAAAGGTCCCAGCCACATCCCAGACCTTGGCTGCAAGTTCCAAATCACTGGGCTTCATCCCCATAGGGGGACAGTGTCTGACCTAGCCCACTCCACCTTGGGGACCCTCCCATACTGACATTCGGGTCTCTGTCCCTCCAGTGAGCTGATGGAGGTGCAGCATTTCCGCACCATCTACCACATGTTCATCGCCGGCCTGTGTGTCTTCATCATCAGCACCCTGGCCATCGACTTCATTGACGAGGGCAGGTAGGACCCTCCCACGCGGGGCAGGCTCAGGGCTCAGATCGGACTCTCTGTCCCCAGGGTCCACCTGCCACTGGCCTGAGCATGCTCAGGTCCTCCGATGACTGAACATGCCTGGGCATTGCACCCAACGAATGTCCCACTAAAATGCAGTTCTGCACTCCTCCTTGCTCAGCTTTAGGCACTCGCATTCTGTCCACCTGGGCGGCCACTCCGAGGACACAGCACCCTAAAGCATTTCTCAATTTGGAACCTTGCCCTCTGTTAGAGGCCATATGTTTGCACTTGTCTGCACACACTCCTTTCCAAGTCAGGGAAATTCGTTCAAGTAACCGCCACTGAGCACCTACTAAGCAGCAGCCCTGAAGGCCAGCGTGTGGGGGTAGACCCCATGCCGGTCCATGAGCCCCTCCCAGTCTTGGGAAAATCCCCACAGGCACACCAGAGCATCATGGGTGGTGCTCCCACAGGGCACCCCACTCAGTGGGCTGTATCCCTGTTTGTATTTGCACTTCTCCCCCGCTCCCCCACAAGGCAGGCCTAGGAGCTGCAGGTTCAACAGCAGCACTTCCTTCTTGGACTTGGGGTTGATGATGAGTGGTGGGCTCAACACCCAGCTATTCCGCAGATGGAAAATGACAGTCGTTAGCACCCCTCAATCCCAGATCGCTCCCCAGAGCTGACAGGTTTTTAGTTTTTGAGGGCTTCCCGCCAGAGCACTCTCCCTGGAGAGATGCCCTTGGGGCAGCTGAACCAAGGAGGTGTGTTTTGGGGAGGTTTACATTAACCAGAGAGTGGACTGATTGTTTCGTTTTCACTCTCAGGCTCACCTTCCAGATAGACCCATGTCAGTTCATCTGTAACAACAGCAGTCCAGAGTGCCCGATGCTGTTTGTTTAGCTCTTTACTCGTGGACATTTAGGTGGTTTCCAGCTTTTTACTGTTACAAGCTAAACACTCTTGGCCTGTGCAAACCAAGCACTCAGCAACTTGTTCTGGCTTAGCTTGAGTGGACAACTGCAGACACCCCAAAGGAACTGAACTAATGAAAAGTTAAATCCCAAATACTTATCGTCCCAACCCTTCGCAGCACTGGAAATGCCACAGGGCAAGCGGCTGCATGAGGGGGTTCCTGGAGCAATAGAGAGGCAGCCCCCAGAGAGAGCCCCCCCTGGCCAGCACAAGACGCCTCCATTGACCTCTCTGGGGTCTGAAGCAGAGAGTGGCGAGCGGGCAGCCCCCACGTGTCTGCTTTCTCTCCTTCCCCATGCCAAGGCTTATGCTGGAGTTTGACCTACTGATCTTCAGCTTCGGACAGCTGCCCTTGGCGCTGGTCACCTGGGTCCCCATGTTCCTGTCCACTCTGCTGGTCCCCTACCAGGCCGTGCGGCTGTGGGTGAGGCCGCAGGCAGGAGGCGCCTGGACACTGGCGGTGGGCCTGGCCTGCGTGCTGCTGGCCGTGCACACCGCGGTGCTCTGGGTGCTCCCGGCCCACGTGGCGGTGCAGTACCAGCTGCCACCTGCCTCCCGCTGCATCCTGGTCTTCGAGCAGGTGATGACCTGGCCAACGAGGGGTGGGGCTGGGCTCACCTGGGGGTGTCCTCACCTCAGTCTGGGGGCAGAGCTTGTTCCTGGGGGCAGAGTTGCGGGAGGTGTGAAAAGGCCCAAGGGAAGGGCAGGGCGGGGCTGCCAGTGTAGTGGGAAGGGCTGGGGGGTGGGAAGGAGTTGCCAGGCTCCTCCCTTAGGCTGGCGCCCTGGCAGAGGCTGGAAACTGCCTGTCAGATTGGAGTGTGGACTGGGGCCGACTGTGCAGGCTCCCGGCTTCCTGCTCTCTTCCGTGCGGGGGCACAGACACAGCAAGGCAACCTCCTTCCTCTCCCGTCTCAGGTCAGGCTCCTGATGAAAAGCTACTCCTTCTTGAGAGAGGCTGCGCCAAGGACCTTCGGTGTCAAAGGAGGTGAAGCCTTCGGCTGGGTCTGCTGAATTCAGGCTCTCAGCCAAGGGACCAAGCAGGGCGGGGTCCTCACTCGCGCTGGCCTGTGCAGAAGTGACCAGCCCGCACGGCTCTGGCCCACCCAACACTGCAGGCCTTAGTCCTTAGTCGCAGGGTGTGCGAGGGCCCACCAGAGATGGTACCCCTGCTGCTCAGGACCTCTGGCACATTCCTGTTTCCAGGACTAGCCTGGGGAGACCCAGCATATAGAGGCTTTTTAAGGAAGTAAATGGAGAACGGACAGTGGAGCTTCTGGGTGCCAGATGAAGCTCTGGCCACAGCAAGTCCTACACGCGAAAACAGGGTGCTTGGAAGGATAGCAAAAGAGGGATTCTAGAGAGCAGGGTCACCTCCTGCTTGTGTCACCTCCGTCACCCCACTTCAGGCCTGATATCCAGCCCTCCCCATCCTCTGCATCTGTCCTATCCAGCTCTCCACTGGCCAGTCTCCCCACCTCCCCCATCATCCCACTTACCTCTATTCTTTCCCATCCCTGACCTCCCCTCTTCCCCTCCCTAGGTGAGGCCCCCAGTTTCTCCAGCTACCTCTATTTCCTCTTCTGCCCCACACTCATCTACAGAGAGTCATACCCCAGGTAAGACCCTGCACCTCTTCCCCAAGTACCCATGCACATTGGGACCTCACCTCTCCCCGCTCTCTGAGGCCCCTAGTCTCAGCCCACACAGCTCCCAGGAAGCAGCAGTAAGCTAAGCGCCTCCTCACCTGAGCCATGGGACGCAGGGTGACCCGCTGTCCTGTTTGCCCAGAGCTGTCTCAGTTGGGCACTGGAAATCCCTGGTCCTGGGAAGCAAACTCTAGATAGTTGGTCACTCAGTCCTTTGCTGCCATGCAAAGTGTTCTAGATCCCATCTCTCCAGATAATCCTGCTGAGCCCAACCAATTGAGGGAACAGGGGAGAGAGGCCCCCAGCATCTGCGCCCCAGCAGGAACGAGATAAAGGAATGACACGTTATCTCCATTGCCCTGCAGGACACCCAACATCAGGTGGAATTACGTGGCCAAGAACTTTGCCCAGGTAGAAGCTAGGGGAAGGGGGCCACCTCTGATTTATGGTGACTGAGGAAGCAGTTCTGGGAATGGGGTGGGGGACACATGTGGAGGAGGCCAGTGGGTGGCCCTCAGGGAAGAGGCAGGTGTGGGCCTGCTTCCTCCTGAGTTAGGACAGTGGCCGTGTGCCTCTCACTGTGCCGTGTCTGCGTTCCCCGCCAGACCCTGGGCTGCATCCTCTATGCCTGCTTCATCCTGGGCCGCCTCTGTGTGCCCGTCTTCGCCAACATGAGCCGGGAACCTTTCAGCACCCGTGCCCTTATGCTGTCCATCTTGCACGCCACCTTGCCAGGTGAGGCTGGAGAGGGCTTCACTGGGTGGGGCAGGCGGAGCCAGGGCGCACCCCTTTCCTGACTACCTGTGTCAGCCTCAGCACCTTCTCCCGCCCAGGTCGTCCCTCCCATCTGCCCTTGCCATCTTGCCTAGCTGGACTTCTCCCTGCACTCTTTCTTCCTTCCTTACTCTGCCTCAGCTCCTCCAGTGATTCACTAGTGCTGGCATCTCCAGATAAGAATCTCATCTTTGGCCTCCCCTTCAAGGTCCCTTTCCTACACATCCCATCACAAACCAGCCTGCCCGGAAAGCCGTGCACTTCCATGCCCTCAGGCTGGACCTGTAGCTGGGAATGCCCTTTCCCAGTGTTCTAGCTGTGAATCCAGTTTCTTCTCGGAGGCTATGACTAAGCTGTCCCCCTCCTCCACAAAGTCCCGTTTCAGCCAGTAACCACCATCGCTGTCCTTGCTGTGTACTACCAAGCTCCTCAGTGGCCCCCACGTCTAACTCCCAGCACACCTGGCCTCGGCACGTTGGTGGCTCTGGCTCTCTCCTCTTTCTCTCTCCTATCACTCTGACCTCCCAGTGCCCAAGGACTCTTGAGATTCATCTCTGTATCCCCAGCATATGGCATGGAGTTCATGAGCAAGTGGATGAACTAGTGAATGTATAAATTAGTGAATGACTAATGAGGAGTAGGATTGAGGGCCCCTGGTTGCTGGGAGAGGGCCCTCATCTTCCTGGGGGGGTTGTCGGGGACCACTCTGACTCCCAGTCCTTGTCCCTGCTTGCCAGGCATCTTCATGCTGCTGCTCATCTTCTTTGCCTTCCTCCACTGCTGGCTCAATGCCTTCGCAGAGATGCTACGATTTGGAGACAGGATGTTCTACAGGGTGGGTTCTGCACCTGGTCGTTCCTTATTCTGGGGAGGTGGGTGCTAGGACGCTTCACACTTCCTGTAGAGCCAGTGGGCGCCTTTAGTTGGGAGCTGGACTTGACGAAGGCTGGGAAGGGGTATGGGGAGGAACAGGAGCCATGCTGGGTGTCACCTCACAGTACTGTCATCGCCCTCAGCTACACACTGTTCTGGGTGCAGCTGTGTGCTGCCCCCACCTTCTGACCAGCAGGGCTGACTGCCTTCCAGCCTCTGCTGGACTCTTACGGTGCTGGAAGGAGGAGTGTCCTGAGGAGGGGGCGGGGAAAGTGCCTGTCTCTGTTTGAGGGGGCCAGCCCATGTTGGGGAGTCACTGAGCCAGGTGCTGGGAGTGGGGGTGAGGAGCTGGGGCTGGGAATACACCCGGCCGATGCTCAGATGCTGACATCGCCTCCCCCTCCCCAGGACTGGTGGAACTCCACGTCCTTCTCCAACTACTACCGCACTTGGAACGTGGTGGTCCACGACTGGCTGTACAGCTATGTGTACCAGGACTGGCTCTGGGTACGGTGGGCCCCCCTTCCTGCCGCCGCACTGCCCACCTCTTACTGACCTGGGGCCTCTGTCCTCCACCGACCCAATGGACAGAAAACCCCAGTGCTCTTAGCATCCTTCTCTCCTTACCCTTAATTCCTCCCTCTGCGTCAGAAACGCTGCCCCGCTTTAGCCTTCTAAGGAACATGCATAGAGCAGTTTCCAGTTAACGAGAATGTTTGCATGCCTTTAATCAGCTTATTAACCCTGAAAGTAAGTAGTATTATATTCCCTTTTTCAAATTGCATCTGAGGTCCAGGGGGCTGATAAAACACTCTGAAATATGACTGTCAGCCCTCTGACCCCCAAGTCCCATCTTCTTCTTCTTGTCTCACACCCTTCCGGCTTCCATAATGAAGCCCTAGGGAGCCCTTGTGGAAAAGCCCCGGGAGACTCACTCAGCCACTTGTCTTCCCTCCCCAGCTCCTCGGTGGCCGAGCCCGGAGAGCAGCGATGCTGGGTGTGTTCGTGGTCTCCGCCGTGGTCCATGAGTATATCTTTTGCTTCGTCTTGGGGTTCTTCTACCCTGTCATGCTGATACTCTTCCTTGTCATTGGAGGTAGGCATGACCTGTGCGCCCTGGAGACCTGGAGACTTGTTCTGGCCAGGCACCCTGACAGGAGGGGGTGTGAGAGGCATGAGAGTTGGGGTGGGGAAGAACTTGGGGGCAAGGAAGAGACCACAAAAGGATCGCCTGGGGGGGGTCAGGGCAGAACATGATTAACTGGAAAAAGGCACCTGAGCTTAGAGAAACAAACGGGGAGAAAGCAGATGTGAGGCAGGGAGCTTGGTGTGAGAGTGTGGGTTCTGCAGTGTGAACGCAGGTTTCACATGAGCCCCTGGCGACACCGTGGGTTTCCGGAACAGGCTCCAGGCCTTCCCCAGGAGGGCCTTGCTGTGCATCCCTACCTGCGCCCTGGGCCGGGAGGGCAGCCAGCGAGACAAGCGCAAGGGCCTGGAGCTGGGCAACCATCTCTCCTCCCGCCAGGGCTGCTGAACTTCGCCATGCACGACCGGCACACAGGCCCGGCGTGGAACGTGCTCATGTGGACCCTGCTCTTCCTGGGCCAGGGTGTCCAGGTCAGCCTGTACTGCCAGGAGTGGTACGCACGGCGGCACTGCCCCCTGCCCCAGGTAAGGGGTACCATTCTCTCTGGATGGGGCTCCCTGTCCAGGAGGACACGCCTCCTCTTCCCACTAGCCAGCCGCTGTGGCCCGATGCAACAGCCTGGATCAGGGACCAGGGCCTGGTTTGGATTGGATGGGCCCCCAGGTCTTGGATGGCGGGGTGGCACCAGGGGCCCTCATTTACAGTTTCCCCTTCTCTGGCACAGACAACTTTCTGGGGCCTGGTGACACCTCGATCTTGGTCCTGCCACACCTAGAAGTCAGTTGGCACCTTCACCGCCCAGACGACAGCACCAAGGTCTTCTCTGCCTGCAAAGCCTAGAGCTGGGGCTCCTGACTCTGCACCCCCAGACTTAGCTCTAGTTGAGGGGCCTGGCAGGTAGACCCTGGCAGGGGACTCCAGGATCTGAGACCTGTGGACAGCAGGGCAGGCTCAGAACGTGCTCGGGTCCCTGTGTGAGTGCACAGGGCCCCTCCTGCTCTGTGGCTGTCCAGATGGAGGGGAGTGGAAGGGCCTCCCAGAGGTGGTAAATGCAGGTGACTTAGAGAAATTGGGGCCATCAAGGGCTGAGTGTGGATTGGCTCTTCCTTCAATACAATAATAAACGCTGTCTCTTTTTGTTCACTCATCATTCGCTCATCATTTGTTGAAGGCCCACTTTGAATGGCACTAGTGAGGAGTTGTGTCCGCAGAAGGCACATGGCCGGAGAAATGAGGGCCTTGGATGACTGACTCCACCTCACCCTTCCTATGCCACCCACTTCTCCCCCAAACCAGGCCTTACCTTCTTCAGCTCAGGTTTCCATGCCCTGTCAATCAGTCCTTCTGCTCCCAGAACCCTCTAGCACATTTGAGAGGGCAAGCAGCAGGCCTGCTTTCCTTCCATAGACCCAAGAGAGGAATCCTCTAGACTTTGCGAGCTGGAGCTGTGAAGTGGACATTAAAATTAGGAGTCTCCTGACTGTAGATACTCATGTTCAGACCTTCCAAAAACCAGGCTGCGGTCAGCATAAGGAGAGGGTCACCTCTGTTGCCCCTACACACTCTCACAGACCTGGAGCTGGGGACACATGGGGTCAGAAAAGAGGGAACATCAATTGAGGTATTGAAGAAAGACAAATCAGGGTTCCTGAGAAGGAGGCAGGGACTTTCTTATTTACATTTTAACAGTGGATCTTTTTTTCTTTTAAGGTCATGAAACTTCATAGCTTTATTAATTTTTTTTTATTTTTTAATTCAAAGTGATAATAGATCCTGGAAGAAAAAGAATCTTCTTATATGGTATTAAAACATTAGTTACTGCTATTGTGATAACTACGTAATTATTTTTAAGTGCATAGTATGTTTGTGTGTGTGTGTGTCATATTCTCTAGATACATTCCGGTTTCTTTGTTCATCTACTTTTCCTTATCCTTTTAATCTGTCTCTTCTGATATTTAACAGCATGGAACTTGTATTTGTTATTTGGGTAAATCTCAAATCTTCTGTAACATCACACTCAATGGCACTTGTTTCCGCTTCAGTTAGCCAAAGAAAATATTCTAGCCGAATATCAAACAGTTATCTTGGCAACTAAATTAAGTGAACAAAATACAACTGTGGAGACAAGCCATCATGAAGCAAAACTTGCTACAGTGAACATCTTTTCATTAATATAGGTCTATTTCCTAGTTTTTAATTAGTTCATGGTGTTAATATTACATGTATATACTACAATTTAAAAAGTTTTTATTGAGTTAACATTAGTTTACATCATTATAATTCTTAAAACTAGTTACATACATTTCATAAATAACACTTTCCTTTATAAACAATTCTCTGAGGAACTTCACATAATAGACATCTTTGTGCATTTCCTAATGGAATTTTTTGGAAGCAGAATTGCTTCGAATTTTGCTTGCTTCGAATTTTGAACAAATAGCCAAGTTTCCCTCCAGAAACTTTGTATGAATTGACATTATATGATACTGCCCATTTTCCCACCCTCTTGCCAGTAGTACGTTTTACCAACTTATTTTTTGCCAATCCGATACGCAGCAATTTGTGGATTTTTTCATGATGGTCAGTATTTTTAAAGACTGACCATTTTTCTATGTGTCCTGACCATATTTATTTTTTTAACTCATTTTAATAGACTATTTTTTAGTGCTGCTTCCCTTCCGTTTACTCCCTGCCTGCACACATTCACAGCCTCCCCACAGTCATCCCCATGAGAGGGGGCTGAGCCTACACTGACACATCACTAGAGCCCAAGGTCCACAGTTCACAGTAAGGGTTACTTTCAGTGTTACACAGTATATGACTTGCACAATTTTTTTCAAGTCAGCTTTTTTTCTGTTGTTTCTTTTTTACAGATTGATTTATTTATGTATACAAGAACTAGGGTGTAGTCCATGTGTGTATGGGGGATGAAAGGATTCACCAGAGATCAAGTGGCAAGCAGAATAGGCAGATCTACAAGAACACTCTGTTGAGGGGAGAAGCAGGGGAGACAGATGAGGTCTGCTGTGCCACATGGGTCAGCTCCCTGGTCGGGGCTCGAACTCCTGCTAGAGTGGCTGTGGACAGCTTCCTAGTGCTGCGCTGTAACCCCCTGCACCACCAGAGAGCCCTGCTGCTTCTTTCTTTCCTGTGGAGTACAGCTCTGGGACATCCTGGGCTGAAGACCGGCCTTGGCCTTTGCTTGCCCTCTGTGCAGCCGAACGCCCCAGGGTTCCCCTGCCCGCCACTTTACTAGGGCTTGTACCCCGTTGCCTCCCGCGACAAAGGACAGGACCAGAGATACACGAGCAAGCGGAGTTTATTCAGCCAGCTAGCTGGGGTTGAGCTCTCTTGCAGGCACGCAGGCCACACAAGGGGAGCAAGACCCCGATCAGAAAAGCGTCAGGGAATATATAGCTCTCCTCAGCCATTACCTGCATCACAGCCCACGCAAGTTCAAGACCCGCACAACTTCAATTTAGATTAAGCGCACGCCTGCACAAATTCAAAGGAAGGCGGAGGGGCGAGGGGCGGAACCACTGGCACAAAGCGGAGGCGCCACGGCGGCAGCCCCGGCAGGTGCATGCATGACGGCTGGATGTGGAGGGCCGGGGTCAGAGGCGTTGTCTGGGCCCAACACTTCCCCGCTTTTGTTTTGATCATAAGGAGGAATCATTCTCGTTGGGCCCACCTGTAGGGAGTCTAAGGTACCGCTCCCTGAGTACCATAAGTTGGACCGAGCTGATGCACTCCCTACTGAAGGCCACCAGGTAGACAGCGGTCCTATATGGGTTGTCTCGCTGATGACTTCTCCGGTTTCTCTGGAGCATCAGGAGTGCCAGGTCCAGGTGACCCCGGGGTCCCATCTTTCTCAGCGACGTCTTTCTCCTGTGAGTGTAGGGTTGGACCTCGAGCAATCTTAAGTTTTAAAGGGTTATGGGGGTTCCGCTTGGCTGTCCAGAGTGTGGCCTGGTCCGGATGGACCTTCCAGACATGACTATAATGTACCCAGGGGCAATCCCGTCCACCTTAAGAGCTGTGGGAGTAGTTAGTAGGACTATGTGGGGCCCTTTCCACCTCGGTTCCGGCAGGTATGCACCTGCCGCTGGGCGTGGAGGAGCGGGGCCAGAGGAGCTGTCCGGCCCAACAGGCTGCCCCATGCCCAAGGTGCTAACTGGGTGAAAGGGAAAAAGTTTCAAACAACCAAAATAAAGAGTTGACATTTAACTTTTATTGTTTTGCTATTATCAAATCAATGAATATTCAAGTCAGCTTTTTTTCTGTTGTTTCTTTTTGACAGATTGCTTTATTTATGTATACCACAGGAGGGGAGCTGAAAGGGCACACAGAAACTATGGTCAGAGCTGCCCCGCACCCTAGCCCAGGAGCGTTTGGTAGCTTTCAGGTCCTCAGCCTTTTCCTATGTGTGTTTGAATACAGGCCAGCTATTACTACATACAGCTTTGTAAAATTATTTTTCTCCTGTTACAAAAGTCCTCTTTATCAACATAATTTTGGTTGCAGACTAACATTCCATCATATGGGTATAGTGTATTTTCCTAAAATCAAATATTTATTAGGAGAGTTAGTGGACCAGTGTATAAAAAACACCAATAAGGCCACTCTGTTTCTGGAAGTTTCTGGAAGTTCTGGAGAACACAGGGCAGGAGAGTGTCAAGAGCGGCAGCAAGGAGGAGGGACTCAGAGGTCCTGGCCTAGCCGTTCCAGCTCATTGAGGAGGAAATCCACATCTGCCCGGGTGAGTGCAGGGTTGGCCACCACCATGCGGAAAAAGTTGGCGCGGCTGCCATGGGGCTGGTAGCCGATCATCATGGAGCCTTTCTTCACCATGCGCTCCTTGAGCATTGGTGCCACCTGTTGAGGGGAGGGCTTCTGCTGTGGCCGGGGCTCAGGGCAGGGTGGGCAGGCTTCCTGAGATGCAGCTCCCCGCCTCCTCCCCCCACAGCTCTGTCTTAAGTCCTGACCTAGCTCCAAGGGGCCACCTGCTGCCAGATCCTGACTATGCCTGATGCCTGACCCTGCTTTAGCCAAGCTTCAGGCTCGGTCATCCTTAACATGATCTTGCTCACGCTCTCAATTCCTGTCATCTCTTTTGCCCTGTGATCCTACATGTAATTTATTATAAGATTGCCTTGAAGACTTTGGTTTCCTTAAGGGAGGACCGCTTATATTGTTTCAGTCACCTTCAGCACTGGTCTCTTCAGAAGCCAGGACAGGGGCCTCCTCACCTCTAGGAGGCGCCTATGGGCCGGCCTACCAGGGTGTGCTGTCTCGACCAGGAAGCTTTCTGTCTTGCAACTCTGTCCTGGGCCTGAGTTCCCTGCAGAACTTCCAGCCAGGCATCTATGTGACTTGTCCTGTAATGCCCCTGTCACCTCCTTTCCAGAAACACACCTTATTCCCCCATCCCCACTCCCATAAAATGAAAACAGTTTGGTGATACCTTCTGAAAGTCCACAGCACCTCAGAACAAGAGACAAGCAGAGGGCCATGCCATACCACGCATGACCAGCAGGGGGCAGAACCACACCAGTTGGCATCACTTCCTTGCACTGGGTTAGCTGAGCCCAGAAAAGAAAGCCTACCTTAGCCAGCCTTTCACTGTAATCTGGACTCTCCTGCTTCCCCCGCAGGCTGGGAGGCACAAACCAGAAGCAAACGTTGACAAATTCAGGCTGGAAGGAATGGGAGGTGTGAACTGAGGAAGGGAACCGTCTCCTCTCACTGCCCCTCTTCTACCTCGGGGCTGCCCTTTGCAGTGTGGGTGGGAGATGCAAAGAGATGAGGGTCACTCCTACCTCCATGACCAATTCAAACCCCTCCCTCTTCTTAATCTCCTCCACCAGGTACCTGCCAGTAGAGAAAGAGAAATCACAGGTGGAGGAAGGGCAGAGAGACAGAAGAGAGGTCGAGAGAAGGAAAGAGGTGAGGAAGGGCAAACTGGCGGGCGCCCTCTCCCACTCCTACCGGGTGAGGGCGAAGGACTGGTCCACACGCCGCTCTAGCCCCTGCCCGCCCTGTGCTTTCCACATGAGCCACAGCTTCAGACAGTCTACACGTCGGCCACACTGTACCACCTTGTCTCCCGTGTCTAGAGCCACATCATAGAACTTGTCTTGCTGGAACAGGTAGCTGGCCTGGGACCCGTGGCAGTGCTTGAGCAGGTTCTACGGAGAGAGGGGAGGCTGTGAGGCCCAGTGCTCTGCTGGGGTCTTCACTGGGGCTACGTAGGGGTGTCTCGGATAGGTCGCCTGTTTCTTTCCCCGGATCAGGCAGCGCTGATGGGGCGGCTGCCAGCTGACTTAGCCCTTTTCCCTGCATTTTTTTCCAACACTGCACTGATTTCTTCCCAAATGTCGATTATGGCTTCAAGTTAAAAACTTTCTTTTGCCTAAAGACTGGTCATTGGGAGAAGTGAGGGAGCCCAAGACAGTGGTTTAGGATGACTGTGCATATTCAGCTTCAGAGGTATGGGAAGGAGAACAGTCAAGCCAGCACCCCCCAGGTGGGCTAGAACTGACAGGACTCGAGTGAGAGCTATCACGGGTGGGGCAGACACACCGAGGTATCCCGAAGAAGAAGAGCTGAGCACTGCAGGCCTGCTGTGAGGAGCTTGTGGGGATTCCAGGCCACAGAATCTGCCCTGTGGGGTGGCATAGCAGAGCTGGGTCAGCTGGCCCCTCCTTGAGGTGCCCAACCGAGGCCTTCGCCCCCTTTTATAGACCTAGGGTAAAAGATCTTTGGCCTCATCCCACCCCAGCAGTCAGGAAGTCTTCTGACCTCCCACCCCCAATTAGTCATCTCTCCAGTGCCCCTGCAGCCAGGCTCCTTCCCCGACTCCAAACGAAACACCCTAGGACCATGACTTGTCCTGAGCAGGGTTTAAAGGGCACCTCTGGATCCCAGCCAGGAGATGTCTGTGTGTCTTCGACAGCAGGACGCTTCCACCCCAGGCAGCCTGTGAAACAGAAAGAACAATGCAGGCCTTGATCTCAGCTTGGGCCCCCGACCCTCAGGCCCAGGCCCACTCACATCCACGTGCAGCCACAGCCCATGACGCTGGCACACATCAGCAATCGCCTCCAGGGGGTCAAAGGCACCCAGCACAGTGGTGCCAGAGGTGGCACTGACCAGGAAAGGCACAGCTCCCTGTGGTGAAAATGCAGAGCAAGAGAGAAGCTGTGAAGTCATGCCCAAGGCTTGATGCAGAGCCCAGCTCTAAACTCTTCATAGGCCTGACCTGGCCCTTTCTACCTTGCAGTGCCTTCTTGGCCCCTTTAATTTGCAGGCAAGGACACAGATTTATAGGTATTAAGAAACTTACCCCAGGCTGAAGCTCCAGAGATGGAACTGAAACCTAGGTCTGTTTCCAAAGCTCAGACCTTTTCCCAAAAACTTTAATGTCAAATGTCGTACACCGTTACACGCCGTCAGTTCCCACCCTTAGTATTTATTCACAAAGACTGCACACCACCAACTCGAAGCTGCACTGCAGCACTATTTACAGCAGCCGGTGTGGCAACCCCCAAGGACCGAGGAGCGGAGAAGTGGGACACACACAAGGGACCACTGCTCGGCTAGTCAAAAAGAAGATGAAATCTTGACATTTGCAACAACGTGGATGTAACGAGGGGAATATGCGAGTGAAATAAATCAGGAGAAAAAAATAGCAGATGATTTCATGCGTATGTGGAGTATAAATATGGCAAAGACACAGATAATACCAAGCCAAAACAAACCCCAGAAATATGACCGTGGGACTAAGCCTACTAGGGGTGAGGGGTTGGGGAGGGAGAATGGGGTCCAGAGGTCCATGGGGAGGATTTCAGATGCTTTGGTGGTGGGTGTGGTATGGTAACATAATCCGAAGACATGTGTGAGCCCCCAGAGCCATATACAATGCTGTATACAATGCAGCTCAGGCGCTGCAATAAAAACAGTGTTATGGGGATAGAATTCTAATAATACTTAAGTTTACACAGAATTGAATTAGTATTCAAAAAACTATGCACAAAGAGAAGCCCGGACTCAAAAGGTTTCACTGATAAAGTCAAGCTTTCCCAAAAGAGAATTGATACCGGTTCTTTAACAAACTTCAGAAAAAACAGAAGAGGGAACACTTCCAAATTTGCCTTGTGAGGCTGGTAATAGCCGGATACCAAAGCCAGACAAAAGGTCACAAGAAAACCAGTGAACATCATCTACTATGATTGCAGACGTAAGCGTCCATGAACACTGGCACCCTGAAATCAGCAACAAGTACAAAGACTCACAGCATGACAAAGTGGGGCTTGTCCCAGAAGTGCAGGGTTGGGTTGATATGCAAAAGCCAGTTATGCACGTTATTTATCAATAGAATAAAAGACAAGAACACACACTACACAGGTGCAGGAAAAAATGGCAAACCTAATATTTGTTCAAGATAAAACCAAAACTAAGAATGGCAGGAAGTAGCTTCAGTTTTATAAAAGACGTGTACCAAAAAGCCCAAGCTTCATCAAACTTTGTGGTGAACGTCTGAGTGCTTTTCCCTAAGGTCAGGAACAAGCAAGGTGTCTGTCTCACCACTTCGATTCAGTGTGTACTGAGGGCGATGAGGCCAGGGCATTTAGGGGAGAAAATCAAGTAGAGGCATCCAGATCAGAAAGGAATGAAACAAAGCTACATCTCTATTTACAGATAATATGATTTCATATACTCAGAACCCTCAGAAATTCACTAGAAAATTAAATTGGCTCAACGAGTTTTCGGGCAACAAGATCAATATTCAAAATTTAATTGTATTTCTATACATTAGCAATGAACATTTCACACATGAAATTATGTTTCACTTGCAAGAATACCATAAGTAAAACAATAGGAATAAACTTAACAAACTATGCAAAAAGTGTACTCTGGAAATAGAGAGCAGTGTTGAAAAGGCCTAGAAGCTGGAAGGCTACTCCAGGCTCACAGACTTACAGACTGGTCATATTCCCTATCCAAGTCCGGCTGACTTCTTCACAGAACTTAACAAATGAATCTTAAAATTCATGTATCTATTCAAAGGACCCAGAATAGCCAAAACTGTCTTGAAAAAAGGGAACAACATTGGAAGGTTCACACCTCCTAAATTCAAAACTTAGTACCAGGCTACATTAATCAAGACAGTGTGATCTCAGAGCAGACATGCAGCTCTGTGGAGCAGACTCAGACTCCAGAGATAAGTCTGCACCTGTACAATCCACTGATTGTGCTCCAACAGGAGTGCCGAGACATGTCACTGGGGGAGACCCCAAACGGTCTTTTCCACAGCTTGCAGGCAAAATACAGATCTTAAGGCTACGTAAGCCTACGGCAGGAGAGACGGGGAAAGGGGCATCAAAACGGAGGGAAGATGATAAGGGACTTGTGAAGGTTCAGGAGTAATGTGGTGGGGAGACTTTGGGACTGCAGCTGAGGAAGCAATCACTGTACAGAAATGAGCAATGATAAAAAGAAGTCTTCTCAATGAATGAGACTGGGTCAACTGATACCTACGTGGAAAAGAATGAAGTTGAACCCCTGCCTCACATCAGACACAAACTTTAATTCATAATGCATCGCAAACTAAAAGGAAAAGCTGAAACTACAAAAACTTGTTTTTACAAAACGCTTGTAAGATAGTAGAGGAGTCTGGGCCTCCTTGGTACACAAGGGGTTATTTCTCAGCACTATGAAGCTATCGGCAGCCACTGCAGCATGAGTTTGATCCCCAGCCAGGGAGTGACCCACAGGGTGCAGCAGACCTCTCCTGTTTCCCCTCTGCTCCCCTCAGCAGTGTATTCCAGTCATCCACCTGTCCCCACTGTCTCTGGTGAATCCTCTCACCCCGCTGCACCTCTATCCTAAGCCCCAGTTCTTGTATGCATAAAAAAAATAAAATAAATCTTGGGGAAAAAAAAGGAAACAGGACTCAATCTTCATGAGCTTGGATGAGACAAAGTCTTCCTAGATATGACAACAAAAGCACAAGCAACCAAGGAAAAACCATAATTGGATCTCGTCAAAATGTATGTCTGTGCTTCACAGGACACCATCGAGACAAAATGGCAGCCTACGAATGGAAGAACTCTGCAAATCATGTGCCTGGTAGGAAACTACACTAGAATAGTTATAAAGAAAAACCCAGTTAAAAGGATCTGCTGAACAGACCTTGCTCCAGAGGAACTACGAGTGGCCAGTAAGCACAAGCCCCACGCAGCCTTGCTCGCTCGTCATCGAAGAACTGTCCGTCCAGACCACGAGACACGGCGTCATCGCCTCTGCGATGGGCTTACCAAAGGGAGAAGTGGGTCTGGGTAAGGGCTGGAGAGATCAGAACCCTCACACTGCCGGAGGCTCTGGAAAATGGTGCAGTCACTGAGAAGCTGGCAGTGCCACCAAGGTTAAATACAGTTACCCCACCACACAGCAACTCGCATTCTCAGCCACACACCCAAGAGAAAACAAAACAAACAGAAACATTATGCTCACACAAAAGCCCGTGTGTTTATAGAAGCATTACTCATAACGAGCACAACGCAGGAACCATCCAATGTCTACCAGCCAACCAAAGCGTAAGTCCCTGTGAGGTATCATGTATCTCAGAATGAAGCGCGGGTAACCTGCTTCAGTACAGATGGACCTTGAAGTCATCCGACTAGGTGAAAGAAGTTCATCAAAAGTACAAATATAATAAGATTCTGTTTACATAAAACATCCAGAACAGGCAAACCCACCAGAGACACTGTAAATGAGCGGTAGCCTCGGCTTGGGCAGTAGCGGCAGATTGGGGCTTGGGAGCTCAAGTGCACAGGGTTTCTCTTTGGGGTGATGAAAATGTTCAAATATCGACCACGGGGATTACAACTGAGATTGGGAAAAGGCACCAAATGATGTAAAAATAAACTATTGTTTTTTTAAAAGTTCAAATACCGATTACAGTGATGGTTGCAGAACTCTGTTAAAAATAACTGGACTGCACACTCTAAGTTGGTGAGTTATAGCTCACTGAAGCCACAGCCAAGCCATCTTGCACAGTAAAAATGGCGCTGCCACTCTGCAGCCGCCCAGTGTCCAGGTAACACCCACATGTCAGCAAGGGCACTTGTCCTCAGTGACGAGCTCAACGTGTCCATGCTACATTGCCATTTGCAGCATACAGAAGTCTCTCTGCGCAGATACACTTGGTGAAACAAACATGGCGGCACGGTCCGCACATGCAGCGGGAGCAGGTCGGTGTATAGATTCCCCCTTACTCAAATGGCCGCATGGCGCTCCAGCGGTAACGACCGGAAGTGCAGCTGACAGGCAGAGTGCCCCGCTGTTCTGAGCACTCTCCACCCGCTGATTGAGTTAATCCTCACAACTACCCTATGTGGTTTAGCAGTAGTTTGATTTACAAAGGAAGAAACTGAAACACACAGAGATACTATAATTTATTTTGATAAACATTTAAAATTCTTTTAAAATTCTTCATCATGACTTTACACTTTGCTTAGGAAACATCCAGTGTGCTTGTGGGCGTGACTTATAGCATAAATTCTGACGGGGACACGGAGGCCACAGATGGGTCCACTTAACAATGGTAAATCTTTCATGTTCAAGTAATAGTGCCCAGCTGCCCTCCCCTCCAAGGCAGCGACAGGGGCCGTGAGCACCCCAGCAGGGGGAGGGAGCCCAGCGCCTCGCTGCCTCCCTGCCTCCCCTTCGCTGCCTCCCTGCCTTCCCGCTGGCCTGGCGGGTCTCTTCATTCACTCCTGCACAGCCCTCCTTGCTCAGCCGTCCCCTGTCCCCACCCCAGTCCTCACTGCTCAGGACCCAGCCTCCTCTCTGTGGGGCCGCCTAGTCCACCCAGCGCCTGGGTCCTGCGCTTGCCTCCTGGGGCGGCACCCTGGCCTCGGCAGTCTTGGAAGGCACATGTCCTCACCCTTGGGCTCCCCGAGGGTCACACCCGACCACCCACGCAGGGCTGGACGTGGGGGTCATGGAGGGGGCTGACGGAGAGCCCAAAAAATCCTCACAGAAGGGGCAGGTAGTGTCCTGCTCTCCCACCCCAGGCCCCCTCATTCAACTCACCTCAGCCTCAGCCAGACTGATCTGTCTCTCCAGATCCTCAGGGATCATTTTCCCTCTGGAAAAGGAGATTGAGGAAGCAATCAATTCTCTAAACTGAGAGGCAGAATGGTTATGGGCAGGTGATGTGTGGTTAGTAATGCTGAGGCCATGAGCGGACTTTTCCTTGAGGGGGTAAACGGGTCTTGGGTGGGGCAGAAGAGCCAGAGTGGCGATTCTCAGGAGGAGAGGGGAGAGAAAGCCACCAGAGGCATGGGTCTGCGGCATCACCCAGCAGCAGGAAGGTGCACTGTGTCAGCTGGTTCAACGCCACGTGAACAGAAGGACCTTCACCTCTCGTCTGCTTTGACCACTCGAACACTGTCAGTGCCAAGTCCCAGAAAAGCAGCGCCCTTCTTGATGGAGTAATGACACTGTAGAAGAAGGCAGAGGGCAGGTCAGGCCAGGGTGAGAAGGCAGGAGGGTGGGGAGGCCAGAGCCTGGAAAGGCAAAGGTGAAGTGCAGAGATGAGGCTCGGGCTACTCAAAAGCTCAAGCGTCTAGGAATCACCAGGGTGTCTGGCTAAAGTTCAGATTCGGCAGGTCTGGAATGAACCCTGAGAGTCCGCACTTTTAAAGCTGACACGGATGCTGCTGGCCTGTGGACCACACAGGAGGAGGGGTGTGGCTGCGTGCACAGATGCAGGTGAGTGGGAGCGCAAACTCGCCCCCTTGGCTGGATGCGTGGGCTGGCCTCGAAGGGGTGGGCCCAGGCAGGCAGAGGACCTGCAGGGCCTTGGGCGGGGCTGACTGCAGGCCAGAATCAGAGCCCAGAGTAGGCCTGTGAGCTCCCACCTCCTGCGACGCGAAGAGGGCCAGTGGCGGCAGGGCCCGGAGGCCTCTCTGCTTGCAATCCGGGTAGCGCTGGTAGCGAGCCAGGTTCACGGCATACATGTTGGAGATGGAGCCACCTGGCCGGGGAGAGGGCCGGGCGGGAGGCCCAACAGCAGGTCAAAATAAACAGGAAGCCCCCCTGACCTCCCACCCGAATAACTGAATATGAAGCAGATCCCCGACTCATCTCCAGACCTGTGGGCGCCCCCAGGCAGCCCCCACCCCCCCGTGAAAGCAAGAGTGGATGCCAGACAGGCATGCTGCCATGCACCGCTTGGCAAATACGGGACACGGGCCTGGTCTGCCCCGCCAGCCATGGCGGAGACGGTGGGAGGACGTGAAACTCACATACCGGGGCAGAAGACCCCATCCCCGGCGCTCCAGCCCACCAGGGCCCGGAGCTTCCTCAGCACCTCTTCTTCCATGAGCACGAACACAGGGGCGATCTCGTAGGTGTACCTAGCAGGAGAGGGGTGAAGAGAGAGGGAGCATTGGGGAGGGTGGCGGGGAGACTCAGGAGTCAGAGAAAGGAGGTGGCAAGAAAGCCAGGGAGGGTCCCAGCGAGCCAGGAGCTCGCGAGAGAACAAGGGGAAGGAGAGTAAGACATGAGGTCGGGAGGCTTGAGAATGGGGCCCAAAGGGCAAATGGACCAGACTTGACTGGTAAAGAGGTCCGAACACAGAGGTGGGCAAAACCATCTCCCTCCTCTACCCCAAAGTCCGTTGAAAAACCCATCTCCTTTGTGGGGTGAGGGAAGGGCCGGGGGTGGCTCACTGGCTGGTGTTGAGGCTCTCGGTGACAATGCGCCCAGCCAGAGCATGGGGGTCCAGCCCTGAGAAGAGCTGGTTGAAGAAGCGAGGATGACCTAGAAGAGGGGAGCAGGGCGCTCAGTGACGCCGAGCAGGGCGGACAGCAGACGGCCCACCCGCCGGAGCCCTGACGCACAGGTCTTCACGCTGTAGCGGACCACGGCCCGGCACCGCTCCAGGATCTGCTCCTGCGACTCCCCCTGGCTCCGCAGCTCCAGATCCAGCAGCTGCCTCAACTCCTCTGGCTCCTTCCACTCACAGACCTGGGAGAAGTGGGCCGTTCTGGGGACTCTGCACCCCACCAACTGGCTTCCCAGCTCACTCCTCAGCAGACACAAGGGCCCATCAACTTGCACAGAAATCACCACACTGGGGTACTTCCAGAGCCGCACAACAGCAAGGGTGAACAACATAGCAAGACCCAGGCACAGGGAGCCAGTGATGAGCACTGGCGAGAAGCAGAGAGCAGAAGAGCCGGGTTTGCGGTGCTGGGGCGGGAGAAAGGACTCACTTTCTCCGAGGCGCAGGTCCCTTTCCGAATGACCTCATCCACGACGATCCCAAACACATCTCGGAGCAAGGTTTCTGTAGCCACGGGGCTCCCATCGAGGGAGCGGGGCGCCTCAGAGTCAGCCATCAGAATGCCTCTGTGAGGTCTGTGAGCAGAGCAGGCGTTAACTCCCCCCTCTGCTCTGCACCCACCTGGCCTGACCAGGAAGAACTTTAACCCTGTAACGGGCGGGAGGTCTTGGTCGTGCAGCAACGTCCCAACCGTCACTGCACAGACGAGAGCACAGAGCGTGCCCAGCGAGACCGTCAGTGCGGCCGTGGGAAAGGGAAAGGCCGGCCGCTCAGAGCAGGAGTGTGTGGCCACTGCCCACCTCCGGCCACAACAGAGGCTTACCTTTCTGCCAGGTGTGTTCAGGTGAGCTGGAGGCAGGGTACTCTGTTACCTTTCCAGAATGTTAGGATCAGTACAGCAGAGGAAGTAAGCTATAGGCAGCAGTCACATGACTGTGACATCACTGCCATGACCCTTGCCCTAAAGAGAACTTACACAGATTTGGGACAGGGACAGCGGGGTCAGTAAGTCCCCTGAATAATCATTAGCTGACATGAAGGAGGGGAGTGAGAGGAAAGTACAGACACGTGCCACACTAACTTCAGGCAGCTAGTGGGAGGAGGGGAACCAGAGGGCCCACCGAAGGGAACTGGGGGTGTTTTGCTAGCAAAAGACAGCAGAGGCAGGCTCAGAAAACTGCTGCAGGTGACCCCGGGGCTGAGGGGGCCCAGAGACCGATGGGGTGAAAGGGCTCGGTGGGTTTGGGTGGGTTCAAAGGCCCATCGCTTTACTATTCCACCCCCCAGAGCCTTTTCAGAGCGAGCCTGAGCCCTGGAGTCCCTCAGGGCAAGAAGGGAAGGAGGTCACGCTGAGGCCCCAGCATGCAGGTCCAGGGCACGCAGTTAAACTGGGAGTGGCTGTTGGAAGTGGGCACCATCTGTGTTCACACCAGGGCGCTAGGGGCTGAGCAGTTCTCTCTGTCCACTGGGAGCACACAGATGCACAAGTGACAGTTACGCTCAGGGCCTGGCTGGACGCTGATCCCAAATGTGATCAGAATTCAGGAAGAGAGCAAAAGAAGCTGGAGATGTGGGAAGACCTGCACAGGACTGGAGTTGCATCTTGAAAGTGGCAGGAGCAGGCCTCCCCGGTGGCTCAGCGGGTTAAGGCACAGCACTGTGAAGCTGCCTGCAGCCACTGCAGCAAGGGTTTGATCCCCAGCCAGGGAGTGACCCACAGGGCGCAGCAGACCTCTCCTGTCTTGCCCACTGTCCCCCTCAGCAGTGTGTTTCAGTTGACCTGCCTGTTCTGCATCTCCCTCTCTCTGGTGACACACAGCCACACCTCTAGCCTGCACCCCACTTCTTGGATGAATAAATAAATAAATATATTTTTTAAAGTGGCAGGAGAGAAGGGCTGGGAGAAAGGCAGGGAGAGAGGCCCTCAGGGTAGGGGAGGTAAGAAGTAAACTTACATGGCGAATGAGTGTGGCTTGTTCTGAGGCTAGTAAAGGCACCTGGCTGCCGAGAGGGAAGGTCTCCCAAGGGTGGAGCAAAGGCAGGGTGGGCCAAGCTGTATCAGATTATGGGACGCCAAATGCCAGCCAGGCCAAGGAATCTCAGTTTTATGGAAACTCTGGCAAGAAGTACTGTGATGCAATCGCCACTCTCAGGAGACCAGCTTAGGCAGCAGGAGGGGGCTGAGCAGGCAGCTGCTGTAAACCGGCAGGGTGGCTCCGGTGAATGAGGGTGGGGCTACCAGGAAAGGGCAGATGACTGCAGACTCGGCACTCGCTGGATGGCACTGATTGCAACACTTAGGGCATCTAGCCGGAGAGGGAGGAAGAGTTAAGGATGGCCCCGGGTTTCAAGCCTGGATGGCCAGAAGAAAGTCATGCCCCAGAAGCAGCACGGGCCGAGACAGGTGACCAGAGTGGAAAGTAAAAGGACTATTTCTTAGACTCTATCACGTGGGGATCTCCCGGGGCTGCAGATACTCACATGGGAGGCAGGGCCAGGGCTCTGATGAGATGCCAGGGCGGCTAGCAGATTTGAGGGTCGGGAAGGGCCTTGTGCTGGAATCCATTCCCCGAGGGAGAGAGTGCTGGAGGAGATGGCCAAGGGACACAGGGCAAAGACCAAGGCCTCGGGAACTCCCCTGCGCCAAAATGAGGGCGCAAGAGGACCCAGGAGCTCTGGGCAAGGAGGGCCTCAGAGTGGCCTGCTCTGCTAGCACCTGCCATCAACAGCCACCAGGAGACCACACTAGCGGAACACAGCCCCGAGGATGGCGGTGTGGCCATCCTTAGTACGCAGGGTTTGGGGAAAAGCGAGGAGCTGGCGACGCCTGAAGGATGAAAGAATCAATCCTCCAGCAGTTCTCACTTCAGCTCCCCTGAGGGTGGCGGCGGTGGGGCTGAGGTGGAGAGGCTTGAAGAACAGCAAATGCACACTGGGTATTTAATATGCATTTTTCTAATCTTCACAACTGCTTGTGCTAGTTTTATTGCTATGTGTAAAGAGGAGGAAACAGGTTTCAGAGACACTGTTACGCTGATACTAATTATCCTGTCCAGATCGCTAGCCAGTGTGTGGCTGAGCTGGGTCTGACCACAGTGTCGGGGTCCAAAGGCCTTGCTCCTGACGTCATGCCCACTGCCTCACAGAGCTGGCTCTCTCAGGCACTTAGTGCAAAGGCCAGTGGGCCAGGGGGAAGGACACTCAGGGCCTGAGATTCTGGAAGTGAGTCAAAAGAGAATCCCCAAGACAGGCCTCCCTGGTTGCGCAAGGGGTTGAGTGCAGCACTCTGAAGCTGTCTGCAGCACGAATTCAGTCCCCAGCTAGGGAGCTAACCATAGGGCGCAGCTGACCTCTCCTGTCTCCCCGCTGCTCCCCTCAGCAGTGTACTTCATCCATCTGCCTGTCCCTAGCCCCACTCTGTCTCTGGTGAATCTTCTTACACCCTACACCCCAGTTCTCGTATGCATAAATAAATAAAAATGAAGCTTCTTAAAAAAACAAGATGACATTGCATCCATGAAAAAAATACATAGGTTGGTCTCAAAAAGGAACACTCAAAGAACAAGAAAAAGTTCTAGAATTTTAAACAAAGCTAAGAAAATCACACAGAATGATTACAAAAAGAAAAAGATGGACCAAAAAAAATTTTTTTTTAGAAAACCAATCTGAAAGACCCAACTGTCAATGAACAGAATTTTCAGAAGACGAAGGGAATCAAAGAAAGTTTTACAGGACAGAGGACCTACTGAATGACTACCATAAGGACAGGTTGTAATTTTGCCTCGGAACAATGCCCCCAATGCCCCATTGTCAAAGACTTTCAGACACACAACAAAACCAGCCAACCAACCAAAACCAGGTCACAGACAAAAAAGAGTATCAAATAGCATCAGGCTGCCCCACACGGGGAGGCCGGAGCCCAGGGCCACAGAGAAGGCAGTCCACACCCTGGGAGGAGATCAAGGAGGCTGTTTCTCTTGTCTGGTCTATGCCATTCTCAGCAGCCACTGTTTCAAACATTTCTTACTCCTCTCAGGTTACAGGCCTAGCAGCCTTCTCCCTGTCTTCCTCATGGCAAATTTCTTGGAAAAAATAAAAGCCATTAACCCATACTCAATTTACCTTTACTCTGGATCCCTCAACCCCTCCCTTCCGCCTTCAATATTTACTCACTGCCTAATCTGTGCCAAGCACTTTGACGACAGCTAGAGGCACGATGGGGAGCAGAAGACATAATCCTGGTCCTCCTGAAAGGTGGCCAAGAACCCACCCGCGGTCTCAGAGGAGACGGTTTTTATTCAGGGCCAGTGGCCAGCCAGGCTGAGGGAGGGGTAAGGGGGGCTTTTTAAAAAAATATTTATACATACAGAACTGGGGTACAGGCCAGAGGTGCAGGGGCGTTAAGAGGATTCACCAGAGACAGAGTGGGGAGCAGAACAGGCTGACTGACAAGTACACTGGTGAGGGGAGCAGTGGGCGGCCAGGAGAGGTCTGCGGCGCCATGTGGGTCACCTCCGGGGTAAAGATCGAACTCATGCTGAAGTGGCTTCCGCTTCTCAGTGCTGCGCTTTAACCAGTTGCGCCACCAGGAAGGGCCCAAGAGGGGCTTTTACAGGCCTCGGTAGGGGGCAGAAACGGCAGGCTGGAAATTCTGAAGAGGAGCTCAAGCTTATGTTCCGGTGGTTTGCTTAAACCGACAGTGACCAGCCCGGCAGTTGTCGCTCCCGAATGTCTGCTGCTGTGTGCAGCGACTGCTGCTTCCGTGTGCTGTATGTGGCCGGCGTCTGACCCTGGCACTCATGACGTCCACAGCCTGTTACCCAGGCCCCGAACTAGGGGACGGTTGAGCCAACTCTCACCCACAAACATGGTTTTGTTTGGCCTGCAAAGTACAGCTTTAAAAACAATTGTCAACACTGAACGATATTCACATATAAATAGAGACTTCCAGCTTCCCGTGCACCACAAAGTCAAGCTAGCAACGCCAGCGCTGAATTAACAAGTGGCAAATGCCTTTTATTTTTGCAGCGTCCCATGGATTAGGTTTACTTCTCAATTTCGTTATTTTGGATGAAGCAATAATCGGTGGCTCGCAAGCCAAAACATATACCAATACGAATAACTAAGAGCCAAAATGCCACCCACTCCATGAGGCCCGCTCCTACCTCTGTTCCCAAGGTAAGCGCTTTCATTCGCTTCTTGGTAACTTTTTATAGAGTTTTTAAAGCAAATTCTAAGAGGGGTGAGGTGCACACACACTCACCCCCCACCCACCCCTTCCACATAAAAGCACCCACCGTCACACCTGCCTTCCCTCCGTCACACCTGCCTTCCCTCCGTTGACATTTCGGGGGCCACTCACAACAATAGCGAACACAGTCATTCTCTCTAGGGAGACGGCAGCTTTATTGAGCTACGATTTAGGCATCACAAACGCAGTCCTCAATGATCCAGCTTAGTACTTCCCTTGCGGAGGGACAAAACAGTGCAACTTGCAGAGCGCGTCCAGAACATTCGCTCTCGCTCTCTCTTTAGGAGCGCAGCCCCCAGCCGACCAGGCCCCACGCAGCCAGCCGCACGCCCTGCGTCCCTGGCGTCCGAGGCGCCGAGTCCCAGAGTGGACAATGCCCTGTGGCCCAAATCTTCAGTCGCTCCGGTTTTCCTGGGGTGTGTTGCTCAGACCCTGGCCGGACGTGGCTGCATTCTCCAGCCTCCGCGTCCTGCCTGTGAAGACCAGTCAGAAGGCGCTGCTGCACGCATTCTGCGAAGTGCGGCCTCACGGTGCCCTCACCCTCGGTGAGCTCGCCTGCCCTCTGAGACCCGGGACCCAGCAGCTCCTTGCAAAGGCCCTTTTGTTGCCCATGTTGGCAGCGAGCACACACCAAATGTGCGGGCTTCTCAGGGGAGGCTGGAGACACGGGGGCAGCCCAGTGGCAGTGTGGTGGCCCCTGGGGGGCTCTGGAACATTTTCATCACGCCCCTAAAAACTCACCAGCAATCATTCGCCCTTCTCCCTTGTCCCCAACGCGGCACAACCGCTAATGTCCTTTCTACCTCTCCAACGGTATAGACACATATGAAAGGTGTGTCCTGGACATCAGCAGAAACGGAAACGTGACCTCTGTGGCTGGCATGATGTTTTCCAGGTTCATCCGGGCCAGAGCACAAGTTCCTTTTTTTTTTTTTCTAAGATTTATTTATTTTTGCATACAGAACTGAGACACAGGCAAGAGATGTAGGGGGTGAGAGGATTCACCAGAGACAGAGCCGGGAGCAGGACAGGAGGATCCACCAAAATCCCCTGCTGAGGGGAGCAGCAGGGAAATAGGAGAAGGCTGCTGCATCCTGGGGGTCCCTCCCTGGCTGGGGGGACAGGAGAGGGCTGCTGCACCGTGGGGGTCCCTCTCTGGCTGGGGATTGAACTTGTGCTGCAGTGGCCGTGACAGCTTCATAGTGCTGCGCTTTAAGCCACCAGGGAGGGCCCGCACATTCCTTTTTATGGCCCAAACGTCTTCCCTTGTATGGACATGCCACATTTTGCTTGTTGACTGACCAGTTGTTTCTGCTTGTATATGAACAGTGCTACCACGAACATTAATGTGAACATGTGTTTCCAATTTTCATGGGTAATACCAGCTTGCGGAACTGCTGGGTGATAAGGTAATTCTAGGTTAAACTTTGAGGAGTCGCCAAGCAGTCTCCAAAGAAGCTTCACTGTTTTGCACATCCACCAGCAGTGTGTGAGGGTTCCGGTTTCTCCCCGTCCTGGCCAGCCTTGCGGAGTCTTTCCCGCTGGCCATCTGCATTTTGACAAGATGACACCAGTGTGTGAAAGTGCAGAGGATGCAATTCTGGCTCTCGTGAGTCTAGGAGCGAGGAGTGCTCTCGGTACGCTTTCCATTGCTTGAACTCCGAGTGAGTCAGTTTTGCTCTATTAACAAATGGCTGCAAAATCCCACTGGCTTACAAAAGCAGAAGGTTCCGAATTTCTCTTTCACGGATAACGCTGGTGGTGAGGATGGTGACAGCTCTGATTCATACGCCACGATGTTCTCATGGCAGAAGGAAAAGAACAAAAGACAGGGAAAACCAGACACAACTTAAAAGCTTTTGCTCAGGCCGGGGAGCGAGCCTTTGCTGCGGGCATCGCAATGACATTGGGGGTGAGGGTGTGACCTCCCCCACGAGGGGGCACTGCAGAGCAGGCGGCAGGGGGTGGAAACGAAGCCCGCCTCACACGGGCGGCCCTGGGTTTCGCCTTCAGTCTCACCTCAGGGCCCCACCGGCTCCTATACAGCACTGCCGCCCCCGGGTGTCCGGCGCTGAGCCCCTGGTCTGAGCGTGTCCTCTCCTACCTCTCAGGAGTACCCTCGGCCACCCTCGCTCATCTGTTCACCTCTCCTTTCTTTAGCCCTCTCACGTGCCCCCACTCTAGCTACCTCCTCTCCAGGAAAGAAAGAAAATAAAGATGACTCTAAGAGAAAGCAGGAATGAGCCTAACATCACATGGTTTCCCCACTCCTAGAGCAGCTGTCACCAAAAAGGCCCAAGTGGCAGAGCAGAGCACTCTGCTGCTCATTCCTATTCCAGAGCGGCTGGCTGGCTGGCTGGCAGGGGCAGAACGGGTTCGGCCAGTTGAACAAACTGCCTGAGCAGCTGGTGCTGTGGCTGCCAGGGCAGGGTCTGCCCGCTTGCTCGCTTGGCGCACAGTAGGGAGGTGGCGGACCACGGGAGGCACCTCCGCAGCCCAGGCTCTCACAGGGTGCCACAGGGCTGGTGACATCTGCTCCAGTGGCCCAGCGCAGCCTTCAAGGAGAAAACACTCAGACTCTCCTAGAGGAGCCCTGGAGCAGAGGTCACCTAGTCAGGACATTCACAGCACTCCGTGAGTAAGCGAGGACCTGAGGCAAAAACAGCCAAGGAAATTAGGGAAGATCACACCACAGGAGGCCTGCCGGGGGCAAAGGGATAAGGGAGGAGGCCTGGTAACAGCAGGCTTAGTGTTAGACGTGAAAGCCCAGCCGGCTCCTCCTGGCCAGCCCCAACCCACCACTCCCACTTTAATGGAGGAACCTAGTCTCCCCATGGCGAGTGTTTCTTCCCTTCTAGATTGTAAAGTCCTTCTTTAAATAAACAACGAAAACTGGCACCTCAAAATGTTAATTTCCATCTTCCTCACTCTATCCCCCCCCCAAATGAACAGCTGAGGAATCAACCAACCACTTTATTTACTAAAAAATGACGTTGTAGGCCCTTCCTATAAGCCAGAAATGTGAGAAATATGTATTAAAGCTTAATTAGAAGGATTTGCAGGAGGTGTCTTCCTCTTCACAAAGCCGCCTCATCTATAATTTCATCTGATCCTCACGCTAGAAATTTGGCCTGGGCAGATAGTTATTGTTCATGCTCACTGGACTTTTGGGCTCAAGAGGGTGAATTATTTGTCCAAGGTTACAAGCGTGACAGGGCACAGCCTGGGTCCTAATTTTCTGACTTGGAGACCAGAACTTCTCACACTATATTACTGCTCCCTCTTAAGTCTGGTGTTTGTGATGACTGCTACCATACACAAAAATAAACTGCAGCTAAGACAAATGCAGACTGCAAGTATACAACTACACGAAAAGCATAAGGAAATACAGGGAAATGTTTCTATAGTCTCGGGGTGGGGGGGGACAAAAACCCAAAGGCCACAGGCAGATTTGACTATGTAAAACTTTAAAAAATGGAAGTATGTGGAAAAAGCGGCGAAGCAGTTAAAGGTAAGGTCTGACTTTATTTTCCCCTCCTAGTAATTTTACCAACTCAGTTTTCCAAAATGGTTTTTGCTCTCCTTGAAATTATTTTTTTTCCATGTAAATCTCTTCTTAGAAGGCCCTCCCTGGTGGTGCAGGGGTTAAAGTCTCAGCACTGTGAAGCTGTCCCTAGGCTCTGTGGGCAGAGTTCCACCCCCCCCCCCCCCCCCCCAGCCTCACAAGGAGCAGAGCCCTCTCCTGTCTTGGCTGTCTGCTCTCCTCAGCAGTGTATTTCAGTCAATCTGTCTGTTCTGCTCCCCACTCTGTCTCTGGTGAATCCTCTCACATCCTGTCCCCACCTCTGGCCTGTACCCCAGTTCATGTGTGTATAAATAAAATGTCTACAATACATGTATGACACATTGTAGATGCACGATAAATCATTATTTATTGGAGCAAAGAAAACAGCCCAGTGGTTTGTACATCAAACTGGTAAAAACAACAACCTTCAGGAACATGAAATAGTAGAGAGACATTAAACATTTTTTGCCTTTTTTTTTTTTAAAGATTAACTTATGCAGGGTGTAGGCCAGAGGTTGGGGGGGGGTGAAAGGATCCACCAGAGACAGAGTGGGGAGCAGGACAGGCAGATCGACTGAAACACACTGTTGAGGGGAGCAGCGGGGAGAGAGGCAAAGGTCTGCTGTGCCCTATGGGTCACCCCCTGGCCGGGGGTGGAACTCATGCTGCAGTGGCTGTGGACAGCTTTACAGGGCTGAGCCTTACCTGCTACATCACCAGGGAGGGCCTATCCTTTGCTGTATGGATTTGTTTAAGTATAAGCTAACTTTTAAAAAATTAAAGACAGTTCTAATGACGATTTCTCTCTCAATTTTATGGTGATCCAAAGCGAATAGAAACTTATCAGTAGATCAAAAAGTGGAGCGCTTGGGAAATAAAACCTATGTACAAAAAATGGCTGAGAATTCTTGCCCTTTTTTTAAGATTTATTTATTATTTATGCTTACAAAATTGGGGTACAGGCTAGAGGTGTGGTGGGTGAGAGGATTCACCAGAGAGAGTGGGGAGCAGAACAGGCAGATGCACTGAAATACACGGCTGAGGGGAGCCGTGGGCAGGTCAGGAGAGGTCAGCTCCCTGGCCAGGGATCCAGCTCATTTGCAGTGGCTTCGGAGAGCTTCATAGTGTGGTGCGTTAGCCTGTTGCGCCAACCTGTTGCGCCACCAGGGAGAACCCAATTCTTGCCTTTTTTCACTGTCATTTCTCCTAACCTCTACTGAAAGCACCTAATCAGAAACTGGAACCTAACTGAAGTGGACATTTCCCGCCTCACAGTGCTCTTTGCGTAGTGCATCTTCAGCAGGAACTAAGCAGCTACCTAGCTCGCCCAACAGCTACAGTTGGCAGTAGAATCTGAAGGTTCAAATTTCCACCTCCCAGGAGCCACACTGCGTCCCATGTATTCAAGGAAACTACAAAGTTCTAGAGCTTTCTCCAAGCAAGGAGGGCAATTTGGAACCCTAGGCAGCCTGTTACAAAGAGGGAAGCGGGACAGGGTGACCAGACTGGGTTGCCTCAGCCGCAAATTTTCCGATTTGATTGCGCGTGCATGGCCCGAGTGCTCAAGGAAACCTCTGCCCAGTGACTGGCAGCCCGAGCTCCTGCAGAGCTCAGCCTGGTGCAAAAGCTGGGTGCAGACAGGCTCCACCGAGTTACGTAAGCAGGACACTGCAAACGACGGGGATCTGCTTGGGGTCCAGGCTCAGAAGCGACAGGGCGGGACGACTCGAGGAAAGGTGCCTGGTGCCTGTGTTTGTTTTTTTGTTCGTGTTTTCGAGACCATTTCGCCGAGCAAAACCTGCGAACCAGCACGCCCTGCGCCAGCCTTCCGGGGCCTTCACGCTGCCCTCAGCCAAGATGGCCGCCCGGGCTCGGCCGCCCCACGGCGCACGCGCCGCGCCACCCTCCTCCCCCTTCCCCTGCTCCGCGCGCCGGCACCGCCCACTCGCCGCAGCACCGCCTCGGCGCATCCCCAGCTTCACCCCTTTTCTGGCGGTCCCCGCCCGCCCAGGCTCCCGAGCCCGGAAGTGGATAGCGTCGCTCGGCGGAGAGGCCTGGGGGGAGGGGAAAGTGCTTCCGGGGAAACGGGCCCCGGGCTGGTGTTTGTAAACTTGCCTCGGTCCCGACGGGGGCAGCGGCGGCCACGGAGTTGGCACGGTGTGCGGGGGGGGTGGGGAGGCGCCCCGCGGCGGGCTGCGCTGTCCTGGGGTGTCAGGACCTGGGCGGCCAGGCCGGTGGGGCGGCCAGCCGGGCTCTCACCTTTGGCCTGCTTGCTCTGGGACGCGGCCAGGAAGTGGGCGATGCGGTCAGAGGGGATCGCGAAGGAGATGCCGGCCGCCACCTTGAGCGTGTTGATCCCGATGACCTCGCCGTCCTGGGGGCGGGGCGGGTCACTCGGGCGGGAAGGGGTGCTGCCCTCGCCCCGGGAACCCCCAGGACACCCAGCTGGCTCGTGAGGTGCCCCCTGCCCCCGGCCCTCCCCGCCGGGCAGAGGACTGGGCCCTTCCCCGCGGCCTCCGGCCTCCAGCTCGAAAGCCTGTGAGAAGGGCTGGCCCTGCCCGAAGCCCGCGGGCAGTCTGGGGGTGCGGGGGCGCCTCCCCTGCCCAGCAGGGGCCCCGGCCCTCCCGCCCTGCCCCCCGAGGCCCTCCACCGACCCAGGCCAGGTGCTCCCGCCTCCAGGAAGCCCGCCCTGGCCCCTCGTGCACGGCAAAGCCTCGGCGGCCCTCGCCCGCCACTGGCACCGGCGTGCCCTTTGGGGCCCTGGCTGGGCCCACCTGCCGGGCAGCTGTCTGGCCCGGAGC